CGATGGAACACATTTTTATCTAAAATTTTCAACGAAAAACATTTTTGCAAAAATTTAGACGGAAAAAAAATTTCATCAAATTTTTTTACGGAATCTATATACCATTGATTTCGACAAAAACATTTTAGTCAAAATTTCCAATGGAACACATTTCCAACTGAAAGCATTTTCGTAAAAAAAAATTGACGAAAAAAATTTCCATAAAATTTTTGACGCGGAAAATTCCTTCCAAAATTCTTGACTTAGTTTATATTTCGTCCAAAGTTTCAACGAAGATATTTTCGTCAAAATTTTCAACGAACAATATTTTCGTCAAAACTGTCGATGAAACACATTTCTATCGAAAATTTTCAACGAAAAATATTTTTAGTTAAAACTCTTGACCAAAATATTTTTTGTCAACAATTTTTATTAAACTATATTCCCTTCAAAGTTTTCAACGGAATACATTTTCAACGAAAAACGTTTTCATAAATATTTTTGACAAAAAACATTTTAGTACAAAATTTCGACGAATAAAATTCCTTCAAAATTCTTGACGGAGTCTAAATTTCGTCCAAAGTTTCGTTGAAAATATTTTTGTCAAATTTTCGATAAAAAAGCATTTCTGACAAAAAAATTTCGATGGGATTCTTCATGCCTTCGAAATTTTTGATGGAATTTTTTTCCGTCAAAAATGTTTAAGAACTATTTTCGTCAAAACATTTGACGAAAACTAAATTCGGTCAAAGACGTATTTATTTTTCGTTTAAAACTTAGAAATTTCATCAAAAATAGTATTATTTTTTTTTTGGTGAAAAAAATATTATCTTTTTTAGTAGTGTGAAAAGTCGATAAATAAATTTTTTTAAAATTTAAATTTAATTTAATTTTGAAATATTATAATTATATATTTTTTTAAATATTGTAAAATGATAAAAATATCTCATTAACCTTCTAATTTTTTCCTTTGTCATTTTTTAACTCTCAAACAAAAGAAGAGAATATAGGGGTGTAAATGGGTTGGGCTTTGGCCTTTCTGGCCCAAACCTACGTAAAAAAAAAAAATCAGCCTATCTGGCCTACTGGCCTATTAAAGGCTTTATTTGTAGGCCAACCTGGCCTATTTATTAAAATAAGAAAGCCCGACATGGCCTATAGGCCTTGTAGGCCTACCACTGTAGATACTAAGCACAAAAAAAATTGTATAGAGCAAAGAAAGTTTCATTCATGCATGCACTAGTACTTCTCATAAGAAAAAAATAACAAACAAGAAAGAGTCAACATAATACCCCAGCTCTAGAATGTATATCATAGAGAAATAGAGTCAAAGAAATGGGGAAAATAAGAAAAATACAATTATTGGGTGCTGAAATAAAATCTACAATAGAATGTCATTCATCTAAAAATTAGGGTTGGTATTGGTACTTTGCCATGTCACATAAAATAAATATTATTTTATTATTTTATTTTTAATAAATTAAATAGGCCAGCTACAAGGCTTTGGGCCAGGCTTGGCAAAATTGACCTATTTGTTAAAAAGATTTTCTTAAAAGCCTAAGCCTGCTCTACTTTTCTGAAAGGTCAGGCCAAGCCATGCTTAATGTAGGCCGGGCTGTAGGGTGGACCGGGCTGTAGGGTGGGCCGGGCCCATTTACACCCCTAAGAGAATATCTTTCAATTTCCTTCCCATCTCTCCTCCTTGAATCTCCTTATTTTCCCTCCCCTCCAAACTCCCAAACAAAGCCTCAAATAACGACATAATTTATTGCCCGAAAAGTATTTTGTCGAAAATAGTATCTAAATTTTTGACAAAAATCATATTACACGGAAAATATAGTCGTAAAAAAGTTTCGTCGAAACTAAAGACGAAAGTAGAGACGAAAAAAATTTGGCCATAATCACTGACACAATATTTTTAAGGAAAAATAATTCAGTCAAAATTCTTGATAGAATTTGAATTTCGTTAAAACTTTCAACGAAACATACTTCCATCAAAAAATTTGAAGGAAAATATTTTCGTCAAAATTTACGACTAAAAATATTTCCATCAAAATTTTCAAAGATTTGTTCTAGTGAAAATTTTTGACGAAAAATATTTCCATAAAATTTATGACAAAAAATGTTTTTGTAACAAATTATGGCGAAAATTTATTTTTGTCAAAATCCTTTACGGAATCTAAATTCAGTCAAAATATTTGACAAAATAACATATTCGTTGAAATTTTCGACAAAAAATGTTTCAAACAAAATATTTCTCGGAACACATTTTTATCGAAAATTTTTGACAGGAAATATTTTTATAAAAAAATTGGCGAAAATATATTTTGTCAAAATTCTTTATAGAATGTAAATTCCGTCGAATATTTTCAAGTGAAATATTTTCGTCAAAATTTTAGACAAAAAAAATTTTCATCAACATTTTTGATAGAATACATTTTCATCAAATATTTTCGATGAAAAACATTTCTCTCAAAATTTACAATAAAAAGCATTTTCATCAAAATTTTCAACTGTAAAAATTTTCGTCCATAATTCTCGACGAAAAATATTTCTGTAAAAAATTTTGACGAAAAATATTTTTGTATAAAATTTTGACGAAAAAAATATTCCATCAAAATTCTTTATTTTTGCATCGAAATATTTAAGAAATTATTTTCGTTAAAACTTTTGACAGAAACTAAATTACGTCAAAATTTTCAACAAAAACTTTATTTCTGTAAAAAAATTCAATGAATAAAAAATTCCTTCACCTTTCGATAAAAAGTATTACAATGGAAAAATAATTTTTTGATTTAATTTTCGTCGTTTGTGCCTTAAAAATTTCGTTGAAAATATGATCTTTTTTAATAATGTGAAAAGTACATAAATAATCTTGTTAGAAGTTTTAAATTTAATTTAATTTATAAAATATAATTATTATATTAATTTAAAATGGTAAAAATATCTCACTAACCTTCCATTTTTTTCCTTCCCATTTTTTTAACTTTTAAACAGGGGAAGATAATACCCTTCAATTTTCTTTCCTTCTTTTTCCTCCTTCCCTCTTGGATCCCCTTCCTTTCCTTTTTTTTCTCCTCCAAACTCCCAAACAAAGCCTTGGGAGCAACAAAAATAGTACTTACACTGTTCATGAGATGGATCTTAAAGACAGTTCCAGGACTTGTATAGCAAAACTCATGACAAGTTCAATCCAATTAGGTTGTTGAATACTTTTTTTTCATTGACGTGATTAAACTTAGACTCGGTTCTTATAATTTTTTTATGGGATAATCTTTTTCTCATGTTACATTGAGAAAAAGATTAATCTCCTACACTCACAAAATAAAGAAGAGAGGAGAGAAAAAAAATATAGAGTGAGCTCCACCTTTGAATTGTGTGTGTAGGAGAAAAATATTTTCTCATGCAACATGAGAAAATATGAACCTTTTTTACTTACTAAACTAATTTTTTTGAACTTATTTATCCTACTTAAAAAGTTTTCATTAACTATTTTTACACAATTATTTAAAATTATTTAATAAGACCTCTTAAAAGCTCTCTTTTGTGTTTACACTCTCATACTGTATTTAATTATTATGTTAAAGGGTTCGTTTTTCTATTCAAAATGATGTTATTTTGAGGTAAAAATTAAGGTATTTTTGTAATTATAATTTATTTTAGAGGTTATAGTAGTTTTTTCATTATAATTATTTAATTTTTCATCCAAAACGACGTTATTTTAGGAGCAAATGTAGATAACTTATCTACATTCACTGTAGAAATATTAAAGCTCATGTTAAATTATAAATCTTTAAAGGGGAAAATATTTTTGCAGTTAATGCAGATATGTTATCTACATTTATTCCCAAAACGACGTCGTTTTGATATTGAAATCTTAAAAAGTTATAAATATAAAGACTATTATAACCCTGAAATAAATTAAAATTACAAAAGCACCATGATTTTCACCCCAAAACGACGTCGTATTAGGCTTACTGCAGATAATTTATCTGCAGTAACTGCAGAAAAAATGAACTCATCTTTAAAATATAATAATTACGTTGTGTTTTTAATAAAAATTTAAAGTTTTTTATATAATTTTTAAAACTTTTTTCATTTATGTTTTTTTAGGTCAAACTGCTGATTCAGTGGCCCAATTCTCTAATTTTCTAATGGACTCCACATCTGTGTTATACAAGTATTCTCTTAAGCCTTTCCTATTATATATATAAGTGGTTGGGTAATTTGCAGACCGCACGTGACAATTTTTATTGAAAATTCATAGCTTGTATTTTCGACTGCAATTTTTTTTTAAATATATTTACCAATTTATTGATTATCTGACTAGTTAATTCAAATATTATGAGATCCATTATAGAGAAATTCTCCCAAATTTTTTTTTTTTATTCTTAGAACTCAAACTCGAAATCTCTAATTAAGAGAAATGAATTTTTTACCACGTGATTGCTGTACAACAATTTTGATATATATTCATTTTCTTCTTCTACTTCTTTTTTAAGCTGACATATACTCATTTTCAATAATGGGAGAATTCGAAAACAAAATATATACTCATTTTTCACTCTTTATAGTTGACATATGCATATGCTAATTTTATGGGCGTCCAAAACAAAAATGAGCTGGCAAATCACAAGTAACATAATTAGTGGGCATGTAATTAAACGGGACCAATCATATTGTAGATTGGGCCAAGACTGAACTTAGGGGTTAAGTAGACACAACCCATAAAGTTATAACTTGTAATAAGTACAACACAAATATAGCCCGATGAAATAGGCTGACTTCTAATACAATTATTTTTTTGATAAATTATGAGTATCCTTCGTAGCAAACAATCTAGGATTAAATCTTTAAATTCCTCCCTAATCTTGATACTATTCTAAATTCATACAAAGCCTTAAAAAGTAAAATTACAACAAAGTAGGGGAGCATATAATTATGCATTATATAATTATGCATAGCCAGGGGAGGATATGGCTATGACTTTATGTCCTTATGTTTGAGGGAATATATATATATCAGTAAGGTCTTTCTCCAATGTAGTTGCCAGGAGGATGATAATTACAAGTGATGAACGTACCCTGGTCACCAGAGCAGGTAACGCTAGCGCAGCCAACCTTCCTAGTGTTGTTCCACACAATCTGAGTATAATGTCCACACATTTGTCCTTCATCACAAGAATTAAGGTCGTGATTGTACCATTGCTCCTCTTCGACCCAAGCCTTGACAGCTTGTGATGGGGTCCAACCAGTGCCGTTACCCCAGAATATGTTCTCACTGTATCGTCCATTAGAATGCTGAAGGGCGCAATCATTGCTTCTTTGGTTTGCATACCACTGAGCGTAGCGTGTTAGTTTGGCGCTCCACACCAATGGCCGCATTCTCAGCGCCAACCGTGCAGCATTCTGGGGAATCAAGAACTGGCTTGCAAAGATTGTTTGTCCCTTTTGGTCTGGGAGGGTGGCATTGGTTGTTGTCACCAGCAACAGAAACAGGGTCGTAGTGATGGTGATGAAACATCTCTTGCTCACAGAACTTGAATGGCTCATTTTGAGGAGTGGGATAATGATTTACTACTTGGCTTGAATGAATGTAAATGTAAATGTAATGAACTTCTATATATATAAGGGAATGCAGCAGCTAGAGACTTAAGATCAGAATGAGAACAATATTCTTAACTACTGGTCCTTATTGCTTCCATGTTCGGTAATAATTGATTGATTGCCACTTTACTATTAAAAGAAATATATTTAATTTAAACCTTTGTAGTCTTATTTTTCTATATTTTCATTGGCCCGCTATTGTTCCCCGTCCACTTTTTTTTTTTTGGTAGTAGATTGATTGCCAGTTTACTATTAAAAGAAATATATTTAATTTAAACCTTTGTCAGTTTTATTTTTCTATATTTTCATTGGCCCGCTATTATTCCCCGTCCAAAGAGCCCGGGATTCCCCTTCTTTTTAAGCACGTTAATTGCTTTTTGTTATGTATAATTTGATAAGGTGCAAGAACTTTAACATTTCAATCAAAGTAAACTTGAGCGTTACGATACTATTATATTTTAAATTATATTCTGATGTTTCATATATATTATTTAGAGCATATTAACGAATTAAGCATTAGTACTCACGGGAATATATAGTCGTCATAGTAATTGAACAAATGATTAACCCATTAACCATTTTTTGAACATTGTTAAACTCTTGTTTGATTATTTTTATTTTTATTTTATTGAATTGGAAGTATTTTTTGTCAAGATTTCCCAAATTGAAATTCTCCCAAGAAATAGAAAGAACGGAAAATTTTAATTTTAATTTTAACTATTCTCTGTTTGGGGCAGGTGCAAGATTATGACTTTAAATTTTACTCAAAGATGATAATAGGGAGGATCAAATACACACTTTTCTCCCACATGTCCTATGCATCAACTGAACTACCATCTTTTGGTGTTGTAATGATAATTCAATGGATATATTTTTCGTTACATTTGCAGTTTCTATCCATTGAATTAATGCAAATTTCTATAATCACATATTGTTAGTTAATTAGTTTCGTCATGATGTGCAATGGAAATGCCATTTTATATTTCTCATATTTTACAATGAAGTAACGAGGACGGCAGAAAATAAAATCAAAAAATTAAAATAAAGAAGAATAGCATTGCTTCGGTCAAGAAGATAGATGAAAAGGAGAAAAGAATAAATACTTCAAGCAAGAAACTAGCTTTGTGGAAATATACTTTTCTTGGACTTTGTTTTATTCTTAGTCATCTATGCCTTACCCTGTCTGTGAACTCCGCTAATTAGTGAATGGAATATGGAGACAAGGATTAAGTCAATCTTCAAGCAGATTTATAGCCACGAAGACCTTCACTATCTTCACTATTTGGCTCTTCATCATAACTGAAATAGATAATTGAAAACTACCAATAAGCAAATGGTGGCAATCAACAATATCATCACCATTAAGTAATGTAACATAGGCTTATTACTACCATCCATCTTTCTTTTTTATGCCAGTGGCGCATAGATCCTCAGCATCTTGGCTTTGTGATGGCACAGCAGATTTTTGTTTCAGAAGACTTGATAGACTTTCACAAAACTGATAATCAAAATTAAAATCAGAAACTAAATTAACGAGCTTTCATATTCAGCTAACAGGATATTTGTGTACTTACTTCGTTGTACATTCTTAGATCTCCAACAGATTTTGATATTTCTACAACACAATGAGTTGGAGCAACTTCTATCACCTGACATTTGCCACACATGTATAGTGAAGAACTGAACTTTCTTCAACAATAAAACAAAGAAAGAAGAAAAGAGGGAGAGTGTCTAACAATAAAATGAGTAAGTTACCTGGGCTGATAGGTCAAAGCATGATCTAGAACATCTAGTCATTATCTGTTTAGGGTGCATTTTTATCTGATATTAAGAGTGACAATTCATTAGTTGCCAGACACTAGAAAAAATAAATATTTCCAGTCATAAAAAAAAGGTACATATTTACATCAATGTGTTTAAGAATCAAAGTAAGCAGAGTTATACCTTAAAGTTGTTCATTTTCTCTACTGACAGTCTTACATCTGTTGCAGCAGCTTTTATTTTTTCTATTGTTTCATTGATTGTGTGCTTGGATCCAAGCCTTGTTGTATTCTTTTTGTGATCCTAAACAAGAAAATCACAACATTAGCATTTTGTAATTGAATGAAACCTTTAGATAAGTTAAATCCTCTTTCAGATTTGTACACTTGCCTGTTCTTCAAAAAGGCCAGATAGATCAAGGTCCTGAGACATGGCTATTAGTTGAAACGCATTAATGAAACTTGAGGACTTCGATATCGTTGACTCTCTGATTTTCTCCTATTGCACATATTCTTACACAATTTAGTACACGGCTCCAAGTGAGATTTTCTATAACTGCTTTGTAATTTCTTGCTATTTGTTAACAAATTACCTCGATTGAATCGAAAGTAGCATTATAATCATCCAAGTTGATGTTCTGATCAAATTCACATGCACAAGCAGGCTTATAATCTGTTTGAAACCACTCATCTTCAAGAATATCTGGTATGGTCATTCGCTGCATGAGAGATGGGGAGGAAGTGGGAAGAAATTATTATCTATTAATTACACTTTAGGAACACAGTGTAGTAGTTCTTGAATTTCTTATACCTTTAGAGGACTTGGTTCAAGTATTCTGGCAATTAGTTTCTTTTGAATTTGAGTAAACCATGATGGACACGTGTATTCTGCTTTCCATATCTTTTCACACATGAAAGTTATCAGAAAATGTTAATTATTTGTATCAGAGACTAGGAGTTTTATTTTTCATTATTATGATTCTATGGTATAGAATATTTGGGTATACCTTCTTATATAAGCGCATCAAGTTTTGGTCGTCAAATGGTAGATAGCCTGCAAGTAATTCAAAAAGGATCACCCCACATGACCAAACATCAGCAGCTGCTCCATCGTACCCTTTGCTCAATAGTAGCTGCATATGACGAAGTAAAGGGGTCATAGAATCAATAATACATGTATTCCATAAATGCAGTTACTAGCTCTGTTTCCCACACCCTATCTTTTGATGTTCCTTGGAAACTGACTTGATAAACCAGACCCAGTTAGATGTTATATAATGAAGGCAGTTTTTAATTACCTCAGGTGCCACATAACACGGGGAGCCACATCGCGTGTTTAAGACATCATTAGGCTGTTAATGTTTCAAAATTTGACAATCAATAAAAAAAATTTACTTATAATTGAACTAATTAAAGAGGGCAAACCGGAGAGCAGTGGTAAAACTATTCTTTCATGACTGAAAGGTCATGAGTTCGAATCCAGGAACAGCAAGGATTGCCTCGCTAGTCGGATTTAACGGGAAGAGTGGGAAAATTGAACCAATTACAAGACTTAAAGAACAATGCTACCTTTTGCAGTGCACTTAATCCAAAATCAGACACTTTAAGATTTCCCTTGCTGTCAAGAAGCAAGTTTTCTGGCTGTTATGGCATGCCAAGATTCAAGTTAGGTTTCGAAACTCTCTTTCAAACAGACAAAGTAGGTTGATTAAACTTACCTTGAGATCTCGATGATAAACTCCTTTGTTATGGCAGTAGTCCACGGCATCAATAAGTTGCTGAAATAGTTTTCTGGCCTCACATTCATTCAACATCTTAGCATAGGACTGCACAACAATTATCAGAATCGAAGTATTATAAGTACATTATGTTTCAATTTGGAGAGACTGTTGATTCTCACCATCTTGTCTAATAGTTGTCCTCCTGATACATATTCCATCACAATGTATATCTTTGTTTTTGTGCCAATAACCTGTTTTAAGAAGTTCATTAGAAATAGTATTGAGAATGATACTATATATCTTCAAACTTCACAAGAATTGTAACACTAGCAGGTATACCTCGTGAATTCTGACAATATTGGGATGATGCAGAAGTTTCATTGTTCTAATCTCTCTTTTGACCTGAAATGTGTCATATCCTTTGCATTGATCAATAAAGGTAAATAATAACGTGCTAACTGCTACTTGCTGAAGGGAAAAGAAGAACAAGAACGAAATTTGCCTGATGCTTAAGATTGCTTTCCGTGACCATATGCTTATCAATGACCTTGATCGCAACTTTCTGACCATTGTTGCAATTCACAGCTAGCTTAACCTTAGCGAATTTACCTTCTCCTAGTGTCCTTCCAAGCCGATACTTCCCTATATTTTTTTCAGACCCCATTACTTTCTTGGCATCCAGTTTTTGGCACTGGTTCTATACAAGATGTTTTTCCTCGCTATGATCTCTGTAGCTGTATGCTATATCTTTTTTGCTTTGACTCTGAATTCAGTTTTGATTATATCTAAGTCCATTTATTATGGCCAGTGTTGGTCCTCTTTATCCATTAAAAATGTAGATTTATTTGAGTCTCACTAGACAAATTAATGAAATATATTATAGCTTTTGAGAGGTAAAGGAAGAGTCAAAATTGCTTAGAGTATGCTTTTCGTAGAAGGAAAGGTAGTTAGTTAGTTAGTTAAGCGTGCCAGGCGGGTAGCTGCTTGGCTAGTGGTTTGGACTGAGGAACGTGTTTTGAATGGAAGTTAGCAGTTTAAAATAATCATGTCTTTGAATATTTCACATTGGAATGTGGAAGTAGCACCACCACAAACGCTGGATAATTAGGAAATCATGTCGTTCGTGATACTTATTGTTGATCACATTGTTATCTGTTTGATTTGATCTATATCTCATCTATTAGTGTTGAGACAATTATGAATTTATGATTTATGAAATGTCAAACAACCTAGCTTGAGTATTTACGTTTTGTGTTTAATTTTGATCCAGAGCATCGGGTTTAGAATAGAACAATTTGTAACCAAAAAAAAAAAATGTTGTTCGATTTTGCCCTTAACTGATGTTACTTAGTGTAAAGGTCCTTATAAAAGTCATATGATGATGAATGATGTGATAATCTATAATTAAATGACAATATAAACTTTGCATATGTGGTGTTGAGAAAAACTAATATTTTAGCCTCTGATAGTGCTATTTATCCGGGAAATTCGTGATATAATAGAAGTGGATAATTAACAGATGGAAATTCAGTTTGGGATAAGATGATGCCCATTACTTCAATATGGGGACACCCTTCTCTAACAGTAAGTAACTTAAGCCTAATGAACAATGACTATAACACAACTAAAAATGTTTGATGGTCACTTGGGAACCAATGCCAGTTATACATGTAGGATAGAATCTTACTTCAATATTTAACAATCTTCCCTATCCTTTTTCTCACTTGCTTTTGTAATTGCCACTTTTAATGACTTTACTGTTTGTTGGGCAACTCGCTTCTTTACATATTCAGATGTATAAAGCAACATTAAATGAAATTTTATTATTATTTTATTTATTAGCTTTTTAATTTGAAATAATTTTTATATTTAAAAACTATTTATTTAATTAATTCATATATTTCAAATTTATTAAATTGATTTGCAATTGATTTTTAATATGAAATGCATAAAACTAAATGCATGTAATGCAATAGAGTTTAGAGAGACACTATCTGATAATAATAAAATGTGTAACAAAAATTTAAAAGTCTAACCAACTTATGTCGTGGAACTTCAACTTCAATTTGAAATTTCTTATCAATCTTTTTTCATCGTCAAAATAAATATTTCATAATGCTTAGGGGCGTTTGGTTGAGGAGAAATTTTTTAAATACTAGGAAAATGGTTGGAAAGTGAGTTTGGTAGGAAAATGTTAATAAAGTTGTTTGATTGTAAAAAAAATTTACCAGGAAAATTGAGTTAAATTTTGTGAGTATGTGTTTGATTGAAGTTAAAATATTGATGCGTAAATAGGATGAAACGACGAAAATAACCTTATAATTAAATTCATCTTTGCCTTTTGTCCATTGCCTCCTCCCATGTCTGATTCCTCATGATGAAATCCAAAAGACCTCAGTTTTTTTTTCTCAAGTCAAGGAAGCAGGAGCCGAAGTTAAACGCGAATGGAGCATATATGACTCGTTAGCTCAATGCTCAACCCATATTATTTGGTCACACCGAGCATTTCCCCTTTGCAACCCACATATTGAAAAATCAAATTTTGCACGGCTGTAAATCTTGATTTCTTGGTCGATGGTTTGTGCACAGTTGTACCCTACTTAGAAGGGCAATATTGTCACATTGCTTTTCTCACTTTCTCCATTTACCCAGTTTTGCTGAAATACCATGTTGCAAGTGGTAAACTTACACAGTGTTTTTCTTCACTTTTTTCACACCATTCACGAAGTCTAAGCAACAACGTTTGATGGAGAAATTTTTAAATTACTTATACCAAACGAAGGCAACAATGAAACCCAATGAAGGATGGCTGGGTATCTTTTAAGAATACCTAAACCAAACACTACCTAAGAGATATTATGGATGTTATTTCGGATAAATTTTCAGTGTTCATGTACATGCCATAGTCACTTGAAATAAAACTAATGCATTTAGTTAACTACAATTACAACCTTTTTCTTAAATGGAGTTAGGTGAGGACATGTGTTTCTATTACAAGAAGTCAAGAGCACTTTTAAATTTATGCGTCGGTTGTTTAGAATCATCAGTTTCCTGATCGGATAGGATAGGCCAACTCAGAGTATAAAGAGCCCTTTCATATTCCGCAATTTTCACGTGCCTTATTTTATCTTTAAATGACAAGTCAGTGATGCCTGTCAATGTCAATAATGAATTTGTAAGTTTGGTAAAGTAATGATATGCCAAAAATATCAAAACACGTGAAACTCGGCTTTTTGACCCTTATGTCCCTTAATTAATAATTAATTACCAAATTGCCCTTCATTCAAAACTATTTCGAAAATTTACCTTCCCCAACAAACATAACACCAATCTGCCCCTGTTTGACCGTTGACCACGAAGCCTGCCCGGGTACACCATTACCTACCCGGGTAAATTTTGAAACTTTTTATCTACCCGAGTATGTAGGGGTGTACCCGGGTAGAGTTCTTGAATCTGGGAAAATGTTTGAATTATTTACCCGGGTAAGGAGCAGTGTACCCGGGTAAATCGCGTCCAGAAACCCCAATATGTATGGGTTTCGGCCATTGTTGCGAGGTATAGGGTTTTTGAAACCCCAAATCTTTCTCTCTTACCCTCTCTAATCCGAAACATCACACATATTTCATCTCATCATTTCAGAAAGCAAAATCTTGGTGGGACATTGAGATTACATCTCCACACTCCCATTTTATGCTAAAAAATCCGAACCAACCTCCAAACCCAAAACCTAGATCTAATTTTTGTGTGAAAGATGAGTTCAAGTCCAAACATGGTTCCTATAGTTATTTACTACAATGAGAGGCATTTTGAAGGTCCAAACGGTGTCCGATTTGAAGGAAAAACAAAAACGATGAAAATCAAAGTGGGCACTACATGCAATGCCTCCAGTTCACCTGCTGACTGTGAAGGAGGGCCCACAGGATGACAAAGTCCCCTTCCAGCACCTTTGAGTGATTATGCGGGCGCTGGAAAATAATATGTGTCACCACATAATGAAGAATGCGAGCAGAAACTGACAAGTTGCTAACAGGATAATGAGCAAAATGACCGGGCTCAGCGTCTGCCCTCCTAGTCTCTGTAACAATGGTCTCCCGGTTATAATCACCAAATATATGATGGCTGTCTCCATCATATAGTGCTGCTCCTGTGACACCATCAAAATCGAACCCCAGTAGCTCTGTCCAGATAGGAGCAGTCATGATGATATCAATCCCGCAGACACGGGAAGTCAGCTCGCCTTGCGAGTAGCCAAGGTTCTGGTAGAAGGCTCTTACCATAACCTCCGAGTATGGGCACCGCATCTCCGCCAGGTGAAGTAAATGTGTCTGCTCAAGAAGCGGCACAATGTCAAAACGCTCTAGGTTGAAGAATGTCGAATCCAGTGATTTCGGTTCGCAGATCTTCCGGGTCATGAAAAACTTCACGAACTTCTCGTGTGAAGGTATGTCATCCTCAAACAAATATCCGAACGTCAAGTCCGGAGCCTGACTCGAAGCAGCCTGGGGCTGAGAGGATGACGACCCATCGTGACGACTCTTGGTTCTTCTCTCGGAATGGGTCACTGGCAGCTTTGAAACGCGTCGAGAGGTCATTGTGTCACACTATTAAACTGAAAAAATAACCAAAATCGGAAATTAGATACATGTTAGGGTTAGGGTTAGGGTTAGGGTTAGATTCAGGGTTAGGGTTAGGGTTAGGGTAAGCGTATGACATACAAATTGATAAAATAATTCGGACAGAATCAAATGATATAAACGAAAATACAATGAATCAGAACAGAAATCATAACATAATTGAAAAAACTGAAAAAAAAATGCACCTTTGATCGATTTCAATCGGTAGAAGGCAGAGAGGTTGCAAGGTCCGCGAATGATGATCACAAACAAGACGAATTGGTGCAAGATTATGCCTGAAATCGCTCAAGAAGACACTCCTCTAGCAGCTCTACTCGGGTACCCCTTTTGTGGGTTTTCGAAATGGGGCTGCTGGGGTATTTTAAAACCCTACCGTCGATGTTTACCCGGGTACACTGCTCCTTACCCGGGTAAATAATTCAAACATTTTCCCAGATTCAAGAACTCTACCCGGGTACACCCCTACATACTCGGGTAGATAAAAAGTTTCAAAATTTACCCGGGTAGGTAATGATGTACCCGGGTAGGCTTCGTGGTCAACGGTCAAACATGGGCAGATTGGTGTTATGTTTGTTGGGAGGGTAAATTTTCGAAATAGTTTTGAATGAAGGGCAATTTGGTAATTAATTATTAATTAAGGGGCATAAGGGTCAAAAAGCCCGTGAAACTCATATAAAAATAGTGAATTTTATTAAATTTTTTATAATGAAATTCAGGTACTTTTATGTCATTTTTATAGAGAAAGTATTTCTGCAATAAAATAAGGGTTTGATATTTGTTCTTTTAAAAAATATAAAGTTGTATTATTTTACATTAGAGAAAGACACGAATAATAAAAATTATGGGGGAGAAAAAAGATTTTTTAATTTAAATTTTAAATAAAATATTAATTTATGTCTTTCTCTCATTTAAAATAACATAACTCGAATGAAAATTAATAATGATGATGCATCTTCTGCTATTAGAAAACATGCTAGTTGTGGTGGTCTTACGAGGGATCATGATGAAGTTTTTCTACGTGGCTTCAGTTTTCACATTGGTTTCTGTATTCTCCTAGATGCAGAACTTTGGGGAATGCTTAAAGGGTTGGAGATGGCTTGGGGTACCGGTGCTAGAAGAATTG